TAATCAGGAAAGACTTCACAGTGACATTTGAGCAGGACCTAGATGGAGGAATAGGATGTTTTCTTTTGCTTGGAACTAAAACCAAAGGCAAAGATGTGGAGGTATGAGAGTCCATGGTGCATGGTAAGCAGAGGCCTCTGGGATGTGTTTGAGAATGTGTGGGAAGGGAGAATAGAAAATGCTGGGAAGCAAGAAAAAGTTGCTGGGATCAGATTGTGAAAGACTTTGAATGACACACACTTTCTAATAAAGACAAAAAAATCAAAAAGTGCCTCTTTTATGGTTTTATCTGATTATATAGATAATATATACTCATTGGAAAAAAAATAAAAATAACTAGATATAAAGCCAAAGGCAAAACGTTCCCCTTCGGTTCTTGGACCAATGCTCCAACCAGTGAGTCGCATCACCAGGGCTTAAACTTGTAATTAAATAGACGAATAGGATATGTATCGTATGCTCTATAAGGGCAGGATCACATTTTCACTTTCGTATTCTCAAAATCTAGCACGTTTGGCATGCGAAATATTTGTTGCATGGAAGAATGGCCTATACTTTGCTTTTGCTTCAAACATATTCCAAATATCCTCACTCTTTAATGACTGTAAAGTGTTCTGCTCTTTGAGACAAAGCTCTATTGATAGGCATTTGTTGCAGATTCCTTACAGCTGCAGGACCATTAAGATCCTTGTGTGCCTGGGTGTATTTACATAGGATAAATTCCTAGAAAAAGAATTGCTGGTTCAAAACATGCATATTTCAAAATTTTATAAATACAATAGATTTTGTTAAGTGACCACTCAAAGGATTGTATTAATTTGCTTTGTCACAATATGCTGTTTCCACCATATGCTCAGCAATCCTTGGTATTATCAATCTGTTTCATCTCTGACAACCTAGAACCTAAAAATTATGTGTTTGTTTCGCATTACTTTTATTAATGATTCAACATTTTATCTTATTTTCCTAGTATTGACTACTGCATTTTTTATGTGAATTACATTTATGTCTTTGATAACTTTTTAAAAAATATATATTTTATTGATTTTTCAGAGAGGAAGGGAGAGGGACAGAGAGCTAGAAACATCGATGAGAGAGACCATAAGCCAATTGAGTTGTTCCTTCTATTTAGCATTTTCAATGAGGTGAAGTTAAAATATACACTTCTTTCCAGTAGAAGTTTCTCATGTGTTGAGGCTGGTCACAGGGAAATCCCTGTCCCAACTAAATGCCAGAAATAATAATTAAACTAGAGCCAGCATTTCAGTGTGGAAAGACTGACAAAATTGTACACAAATCTGTTCTGTTACCAGAGGAATGACACCCCCCTCCCCGCTGGCTTACAGTTAGGAGCAAAGAGCCCTTGGTCCTGGGGATATTTCATCTGATAACACAGTCAACACAAACGTGGAGCCTCATCTCAAACCAGAGTGAACAGGCACCGCATGGTTCTCCGTTTCAGCCACAAAAATCTTTCCAGCCTTTCCGATGGCAAAGGCCAAGCTCGACCTCTTAGCTGTCCTGTCTCCTCACCAAGCGGAAGGGGGAAAGGGGCTCTATAGGCCGCTCAGGGTCACTGGGAAGAAACTAATCTGCACTCTCCTTGTCTATCAACTCCCATCTTTAGCCAATACCATGGTATTTTATAAATTCACTATTTTACGTTATATTTTTCAAGGTGGGGTTCTAAGATTTTGGAGGACTCTCCTCCACATCTCAAGGAACTTCTATGCATCAAACTGCTTCTGAACAACAGAAATGAAAATAGGCCTTATGATTTTAGACCAAATAACAAAGGCTTATCTTTCAAAAAAAAGTCTCAGAGCTGACAGTCATAAACAACAGAATGTACAGCCAAGTTTTATAAAGGACAAAAGCTATAACAACAGATACCAAAGGATACATTATTCCAAAAAAGAGGACACATGGAAAATGGGTAGTGCCAAACAATCTTTTTATTGTTCACTGAAAAATACAAGTCTGGAAAGAGTCTATTGCATTGTGTATTGACTGCAAGGTCTGATATTGCAAGTATATATAACAATAGTATAACATATTAAATGATACATATTGTACATAGAGATAATACCCACCTCTCTAAACACTAATATTTAATAGAATGAAGTAAAAAAGCTTTTCATAAAATGAAAAATGTAAACATTGCAATAATAAACAAAGTGCTCTAAGCAAAGCACTTTAAAATCGTTTGTTGTGACATGTACTCAGTCTACCTGAATCAGGAAAAACATGGCTAACAAAAACTACAACTCTTAAGAAGTGCTTGAGAGTGCTATCGACTCTATGGATAAGAACACCTACTATTTATGAATGAATCTGACACTCTGCAAACACTGAGATATGCTTGAGAATAAAGATATTAAGGTCAGGAACAAATGCCATTTTCTGCGCAGTCTGCAGATATCATCATGTCTTCCTTTCAGCCATGTTTTCATTAAGATGCACTAACAGAGGCTGTCCTGGCCAGACAGCCAGGCCGGGATTGAGATAACAGAACTTCTCCAGTTACTACTACTAATTTAAATGAATTAAAAATAAATACAAATGTATAGAGAGCAACAAAATCAATCTCTATTATTCACCTGGCAACATATTCAAGAGCTACAACACTAGTCACATTCCAACGTCCACTGCGTTTCCCTCCAAACTGAGGAAGCTCGGTGTGGAGAACATTCAACATCAACACCACCTCCCCCTCTCCAAATACTATCAGGGTTCAGAAAGCTCATCACAGATAACAAATTTTTTAAAAATTGCATCTCAATGTATATACAGCAACAGAGGAAGACTGTGCACTCCGTCTGGGCTTCCTTGGCATTAGACAAAGCAAGGCTCTGAGGCTATTTGCAACCACCGTGCCGAAGCTAACTATGACAATGCTCACATTCTCTGAGAAATCGGGATTACAGAGTTCCTTTATTCATAGGTAGTCAAGGACTATTAAGGAACTTCCTGAACTAAGACAACAGTCTCACCATCACAGAACATTTTCTTCTCACCTGGAAGTTTGTATAAGTGAGATTTTACAATATCTCAGCTTCTTTATTTAATTTGAAACTATCAATGCACAGAGGACATCCTCAGAGGTCAAGTATGAATAATATTAACATTCTCAGATTGTTTTACACTTTACAAGCCAGCAAATACTTTCTCAGACTAACCATTTAAGAGACTTTTAAGTCAATAGTAATAATCAACTATGTGTTTTTCTTATTCCGTTCATCAAAAAATATCATGTTCCAATAGGAATAAAGCTCAATTCAGTGGGAATCTTATTCCCCTCAACTCTGCACAATAAATTTCACTGGTCTCTACGACACTGGCTTTTCCTATGACTCTTCTAGTCTAAGGGAAATCTCATGTTAAGGTGGAAAATTGCAAACTCCAACAGAACCATTGGTATTAGGACTGAAGCAGACTTTAGGAGAAGAACTGTAATTGTTTAGGGGACTAACCAATTGTTTCTAGCAAGGTTGTAGCCTTGCTAGGAACGCAACTGCTTTTGAATCCCTACACTGAGAAGTTCTAATAATTTAAACATATGAAGCAATTTCATTGTAAAAGGTCTGGTTCAATGGTAAGGTTCTGGTCCCCAGAATGATGGTGAGTGGCAGCCCAAAATACTGGCCTCATTTCCATTTCGAACATGTTCGTGACTCTTTCCCCATTGCAGTTTATCCAGTTCTCCCACATGTCTTACCCCTGGTGAGCCCCCCAGTGCTGGGTGTTCCGCTGCACATATGGGATTCGCTGGGGATCACTTTAATGTGCAGGAAACCTCCATTTCACACCATAAGCTTCCTAAAAGCCACCAACTGGGAACCATTTCAAGTGAGTAAAGGCACAACTCACTGGCATTTTCTCTTTAGAGAGGAAATCAGAAGCGTTGTTTAGAAGCTGAACAAACACCTTGGGTAATCTTATAAATGGAGTTATGTATCTGCTACCAAAACTCAGAGACATTTAGTAGATTTACATATAGACTAGACAGATTACATTAAAGCATGAATTTGGCAGTTGAAAACATATTTTCAATTTTCCACTACACCACTCAGGGGCAAGTGCTGGTTAGTACCGCAGGGGCGAATCGTGTCCACACCACCCTCTTGGTTTGTTTTCCGCATACACCGCCTCCAGTCCCAGGGAACCTGGCACAGGTACGTCACTCAGCAGCTGCCACACTGCTCAACGGCAGAACAAAGGGATTCACCTCAACCAGCCCAGCAGCTAGCAGTCCGCTGTGCTGCGGGGCCCACGAAAAGCCTTAAACTCAGAAGACTCATAGAATTGCATAAAAATTCCTGCTTTTATATCTTCCCAGAAAGTCAGAAAATGATTGGGTTTTAGTTAAACTGAATCTGTGCTCAAAAACAATGTAATGCCTCAGAAAGCAAAATCTAGAATAGAAAAGCTACAGACTGATACAGCTTATTAGTCAACAGCTTACTTTGGCTAATTATCATAGTACTCCAATGCAATGTATCACTGCATTTAGAGGCACAGTCTACCATGTTCCAATAAAACAGGGTACTAATGAAGTACATGAAAACACTTCATGGCCTTTGTGACTTCAGAACTGGAAAGGACAAAGGCTGGCCAGGACTTGCCGTTCGGCACAAGTGTCAGGAGACAGCTAGACATGTGGGTTCTATTCACTCCTGGTGGTCTAGCAAGTCCCTACCTGGACACTGATGGTTCTCAACTTGGCTGCACATCAGGCTCATTGGAGAAGCTTTTAAAAATTACCCAACGCCCAGACCAATTACACCTGGAGGCGGAAGCCTGGAAACCAGTGTCCTCTTTGCTTCCCCACCAGGCCGTTCACACGTGCAGGCAGGGTGCGCTGCTGCATGAGAGCCGCAGCACAGCCAGATGGTTTTGTTTTCAGTCAGTTCCGCCAGGAAGAGGAATTTTTAGAAAAAGGCACAGTTATGTTTCCTCTAAAGATGCAGCTTACTGTGTGGGAGCGCTGGCTGGGGGGGCTATCTGGAGCGCTGGCTGTAGAGGAGGAAGTCCTTGTCTTGGCAGAGTAGGTATCGTTTCAGGCTTCGGCGGCTGCCTCCAGCCACGAAGAATGCCCAGGTGCCCATGAGCGGCATGATCATATAGGCCAACACCAGACTTATTTCATACTGAGGATTAAGGAAAGTCTGCAAACGAAAAATAAACCAGCTTGGTAACAGTGGCTGGTAAATTAAACATGCGAGTAACCAAAGACAAAGGGAGGCAGGAAATACTTTTAATAGCTGGGATGTGTTTCACCAAACATGCGATGTATGTCCTGTGCTGGGGAGCACCATGTTCTCATAAAACAGGGCGCTAATGAAGTACAAGGACACACAGACCCACCGAGTCAGCGGACACTGACCTATAGATCCGGGCTGTGCTGAATTTCAATGGCAACCCTAGGAGGTAATGAGAAGCCAGAACCCTACTGGAATACCCAACGGATGATACATGTCATATAACTGGGCCCAATTTATAATCCTTCAGGGCAAGAAGCGGTTAGTTCTTAGAACATGGAAGAAAGCCAGACAAGTCCAAGTTACTTTAGTATGAGTCCTTAGTATTTGAGGGAACAGCAGCATCTCTTCTTCAGCAGCACAACTGATATCAGTCCCAAAAGTTCATTTGAAATACACGGATGGGGTGCTTAGAGGTACTGGGCTATACAATAGTGAAGACCCTAGCTTCTATCCTAAAGGAGCTCATACACAATGAGGGAGATATGTAATGAATGAAGAAAAAACTAAATTAATTACATAATTGCGAACTATGATGAATACTAGATCAGAACAGTTATAATTGTGATGGTGACAGGACAGGCAAGAAAGGGGTGATTTATTAGGGTGGTCAAGGAAGGTCCTGAGGAAGTGGCATTTAAACTGAGACACAGGAGGAGGAGTGAGCCAGCCTAGTGGAGACCAAGGGAGGGAACAAAGGAGCTCGGCACAGCTGAGACCCTGAGGAAAGTCCATATTAATCATGTGTAGGGATGGCGGGGCAGCACATGAGGTAAGGAGTGTGGATTTTATACTCAGTGCAATGGAGGGTCACTGTGTTTCCTTCTGGTAGGGGAGCTGAAGGACTTGAGTTAGATTTTTAAACTGCAGAAAAAGATTAAAGGGGGCTATGGTGAGAGCAGTGAGACTAGTTAGGAAGGTTTTGTACTGGATGAGGAGAGTACAGGATGGTGACTTAGAGTAGGTGGAGGCAGAGATGGAGTGTGGATAAGAACTGACAGGACTTAAGGGGCAGTGAGAGGCCATGCTTCTGGCTTTAGGTAAATGGTGGTGCTATTTAATGCGACGATAAAGACATGAGAAAGACCAAGCTTTGAGTTGTGGGTGAGAATCTAGTCCAAAGAGGACATGTTAAGGGTGACATGCCTGTGAGATTTCAAAAGGCAGATGTCAGGTAAGTAGTTAGATACGAGTAGGGGAGAGGAGAGGCCTGGGTTAGAAACAGGAATATAGAGACACAATCCATAGATGGTATTTAAAACCATGGTAATGAATGAAATTACCCATGGAGCTATTGCAGAGAGAAGGGAAAAGAAAAGTCAAGATCAGGCCCTGAGAACATTGTTTGTGTTGTTCAGTATCACAGGAGCAAATTGGAAGTGTCAACACCATTTCATTGGCCTGATTTATTAAAAAGGAGTCAGCAAGAACTCGGACCCAGCAGTGGAGTAAAGGAAACGGGGAAGTGTGATGCAGAAGTCAGACTAGAAAAATGTCTCAAAAAGAAAGTGGCCAGCTCTTTTTAGAGGTTGCTGAGATGAAAACAAAACATTGCCCATTAGATTTGGAGAAATGGAGGTCCTTTTTGACCTTGACAAGTGCAGTTTTAAAGAGGTGGTTGAGCAGAAACTAGATTGGGCTAGAAGTATGAGAGGTGAAGAAGTGAAGACAATTTGGGGGGATCACTCTGAGAAGTTCTGCTGTGATGGGGAACAGGGGAAAGGAGGGTGGTGCCGGGAGGGGAGAAGGCAATAATGAAGTTTTATGAAGAGATGTCTGTAAGCTGATACAGAGATGGAAAGGCCGTCGGAGGGGGCAGAGGACAAAGGAGGGAAGTCTTCAATAGTAAAGAATTAGGTCCAGAACCCAAGTGGAGGAACTGACCTTTGACAGGAGGAGGGATTCTCTGCTGGGCCAGGGTCAGGCGGGGAGATAGGTTCCAATGTAGCCTAGCATTTGCACTTAACAGAAGAGAGCATCTGATTGGGCCCGTTTGTCACTGCACACCTCTGAGAGTCAGAGGCTAGGGCTGTGCCCGCAAAGCTCCTCACTTTCCTCACCCTCACCCTACCTGCACAAGCCCCTGGCTAAGCTATGGCCAGGGAAATAGCCACCTATGTAAAAAGAATGCTTTTCTCAAGAGGCATCTGTGGGCATGGCAGACATTGAACATTTTCTGGATTCTTCTTCAGAATAATTCTATACCTCTAGTCCACTGAATTTTAAGTAAAAAACATTAAAAAAAAATTGATTAGACTATATTAAATAACTTTTGTTCATAGAAAGACCACATCAGGAGACTATAAAGACAAACTACACTTTAGAAGAAGTTATTTGCAATGCATAAACCTGACAAAGTCCTGTTTTAAAGAATATAGGATGCCCCCCCCCCCCAAAAAAATGTATACACTCTTTCACAGCTGATAGCCCAATTCTGAAAAGGAAATATATTTTACTAAGCGAAGATTTGACTTTACACAGTTGCCACTGTATTAAGGGTAACACTGGTAGCCGGTACAACTGGAAGGTTTCAGGTAGGAGAGGCAGTGACACTGGGTCAGAGGACAAGGAGGCCAATATAAGAAAACCTGATACAAATTCAATGTGTCTATACATTTTTTTGGACATTCTATATATAAAGAACCCCCCCCCTAAAAAAATTCAAACAAAATAGACAGACAACATAATAGAATGATGGGCAAGAGACACAGAACAGGCACTTCACGAAAGGATTATCCAAATGGCCAGTAACGACACGAAGACATGCTCACCCTCACATTCAGTCCAGGATGCTTTCTCCAGACCAGCTGCAGAACCACCTCCACTTCAAGTCTCTGCTCAAATGTCACCGTCACTGAGCCTATGCTGACCACCTAATTCAAAAATTCGCACCCCTCCACCTCCCTTTTAACCTGCTCTCTTCTCCTTTCTTTCACAGCACCTAACAATTTCTAGATACTGTCTAATTTCTCATTACGTCTACTGCTTATTAGATTATAATCCTTACTAGGTTAGAAAGGCAGTGATCTTTGTTTTGGTCACTAAACTGTTTTGTTCACCTAAAACAGTACCTGGAACATGGAAGGCACTTAATAATTGTCAAGTGAACAGTCAATTGGATTCATAAGAAGGACATTTGCTTTTTCATGTAACTTCCTTTCTGGTAATAAAATGTATGTTGTAAAAAAATTGGAACATGCCAAAAACTATAAAGAATTAAAAGAATCTACCCAGAGATAAATTTATTTGATATTTTAATGCACTCTCTTTCCAATCTTTTTTTTTTTTTTCATGAAGATTTGACTTTAGACAGTTGCCATCGTATTAAGGGTAACGTTAGGATCCTGTGCCACTGGAAGGTTTGAGGTAGGAGAGGCAGTAAGACTGGGCCAGAAGACAAGGAGGCCAGTATAAGAAAACCTGATACAAATTCCAAATGGATGGGGAGGAGAGAAACAAGACAGGACACCGTCAGAAGAAAGCTTTTACATCCTTTAGATGAGAAATAAGAAGGGTCTGGACAAGGCAGTGATGAGAATGATTCTGATGTAAATATCTGACAAACTGTAATAAAAGTCAGGCCCAAGACATACAAAATTACTTTAAAAATGTATCTGGCTGAAACCGGTTTGGCTCAATGGATAGAGCGTCGACTTGGGGACTGAAAGGTCTCAGGTTCGATTCCGGTCAAGGGCATGTACTTGGTTGTGGGCATATCCCCAGAAGGGGGTGTGCAAGAGGCAGCTGATTGATGACTCTCATCAATGTTTCTAACTCTCTATCTCTCTCCCTTCCTCTCTGTACAAAATCAATAAAATATATATAAAAAATGTATCTGGTCAAGTTTTCTTGTTAAACATTATTACTCTTGAAAACTGCCATTATTATAATGTCAGAGAGAAGGGATTGAAATGGTTACTCTTGTTATTGATCAGTTAGAGTAAAACTGATACAACCCTGTAGACAGTATTTTAGCAATTTGCATCAAGAGCTTTAAAAATATTCATACTATTTTTTTAACTTTATAATTCCATTCTGTGGAACAATATATTTTAAAAGTTTCATGTACAAAGATGTCCAAGACAGCGTTAAAATAACCAAAAGTAGAAACAGGAGGGATTAGTCAGTTAAGCAATCTATGATGCAATTTTTATTATATAAAGCCATTAAAATTTATATATTAAAAATATTTATAAGAACATGGAGATTGTTTAAGATGTGTTACATAACAAAGCATAATTCAAGACTATTTCAGGTTTGACTGTCATTAAAAAGACAGACAGTAGGAAAAAAATCTTTAATGAGATCAATCAACAAATAATAGTTGTCTTTCTGTAAAAGACTTAGATGACTTATCTATCATTCATCCATTTTTTCAAGTAATATTTCTGAATTTCCTTATTTTCCCATGAGCATGTACTTCATTTAGGGTGGAATCTACCCCTGCAGACAGGTGGACTTGAGCTCCAAAACCAGTTGGAGCACAGTGGCCGTACTCACCAGGGCTGACACCAGCAGGTGGGTCAGAATAACTGCAAGAAGGGGGTGCCAGTTTTTCTTCTCACAGCCATCAAAAAACACAATGCCCCAGAACACGTGCAGCAGTATGATCACCAGCGTCATGAAAGCTGAAAGACAGCCACCCATTAGTGCTCAGGCATTCGACCAGCAGACGCCAAAGCCCGCTGAACACCTCACCCGGCCATGGTACACAGGCTCTTGGGGTTCCACACCACTGGGGGAGCTTCACTGACACCTGACCGAAGAAGGACCAGGACACACATTTGCTCAAATGTAATTTGGAAAACAACATTTCTAAGCCAGGGGTCAGCTCTGCAGCAGCTTCTCTAGAATGTGAACCTGTTAAAAGTCAACTTGAATCTGGCTTTCAAGAAGTGTCTCTGACCCCTAGCCAGTTTGGCTTAGTGGAGAGAGTGTTGGCCTGGGGACTAAAGGGTTCTGGATTCAGTTCCAGTCAAGGGCACATAACTCAGTTGCAGGCTCTCTCTCTCTCTCTCTCTTTATCTCTCTCTCTCTCTCTCTCCCCCTCCCTTCCATTCTCTCTAAAAATCAATGGAAAAATATCCTCAGGTGAGGATTAACAACAAAAATAATAACTTTCTCTGAGGAATGAAATAAAACTATTGTAATATCTAATCAGCTTTTTCTAAATTAAGCCTTCCACACTAATTAAGAGACACTTTTCTCAATTAAATGGAATATCTTTTGTTTGTTTTTTATTTGTTTGTTTGTTTTTGTTAATCCTGACCCGAGGATTTTTTTCCCATTGATTTTTTTTTTTTTTTTTTAAGGAAGAGTGGGAGAGGAAAATAGAGAGAGAAACATCAATGTGAGAGAAACACATCAATTGGTTGCCTCCTGCGTGAGCCTTGACCAGGGAGGCCAGGGAAGAGCCTGCAAACAAGGAATGTGTCCTTGACAGGAAACAAACCTGATCTGAAGGCTAATGCTCTTACTCTGAGCTAAACCAGCTAGGGCAGGAATATCTTTGTTTTAAACAAGTTTTCACTAAAATAAAATTTCTCCTTGGATTTTTTAAAAATGCCAAATGGAAGAATAAAAATATTCAACATTGCAATAATTAAAATTCTTCTGAGGTAACTGAAATCTAATTTGATTAGCCCATATAGCTTTTCCACAATATGTGGAATATTGTGGGTGTGTGTATCTGGATAACATTCTTCATTTTAAAACATGAAGTTCCACATATTCTTAAAGTTTTAACATGAAAAAAGAAAAGGCAAATAGAGTTCCCTTTTTTGCCCATGTAATAAGACACCATTAACACCTACCGGTGTGGCAAAAATTCAGGTCTGATGCTTCTCTTTCACACTGCTGGTAGGAAAACAATTTAGCATTACCTCCTAAAGTTAAAAATTTGCACACTCTATTTCACTCCAGCAATTCCACAGCTAGATCTGAAGTCTGAAGCAGTTAGTTCTTGAATCAATAGATCACTAGCGCCTGAGAACTTATTAGAAACACAACTTTTCTTGGGCCCTGGCCAGTGTTGCTAAGTGATTAGAGCATCGGTCTGTGCATTGAAGGGTCTTGAGTTCCATTCCCAGTCAAGGGTATGTACCTGGATTGAAGGTTGAATCCCAGGCCCCTGTTGGGGCGTGTGCAGGAGGCAACTAATCAATGAATCTCACATCGATGTTTCTCTCCCCTCCTCCGCCATCCCTTCCAATCTCTCTAAAAATCAATGGCACAATATCCTCCAGTGAGGATTAATAAAACAAACAAGCAGTGCAAATTTTTGGGACTCACCCCACACTTCCAGAATTAGACACAATGAGCCCAGGAATTTGTTTAAATAGACCTTCAGTTAATTCTGATGCAGTCAAGTTTGAGAACTGCTCTAGAGAAACTCTCATATATTTGCACAAGGTACACACACACACACACACACACACACACACACACACACACACACTAGAGGCCTGGTGTATGAAATTCATGTATGGAGGGAGGTCTCCCTCAGTCTGGCCTGTACCCTCTCCAATCAGGGATCCCTGTGGGATCCAGCCATAAACCACCCTGGTCACCTCCTAACTGCCCCCTGCCAGCCTGGTTGCCCCCTAACTGTCTGGTCTAATTAGCCTATTACCCTTTTATTAATATAGATTAAGTATACAGTTAATAATGCAGATTTTTTTCAATAGATGGAGTTACACATATGTTGATATATATGCGATTTGATATGTATGTTATTTTGTTGTATTGATAGCAAGCTTCAAAACTTCATATGTCAAATTTTCTGAAGGTGTTAACATCATAGATATTTTTACATTTAAAAATGTCAAATTTCATACCAAAAAAAAAGTTTTAATTCATCACTTTATTTTGAAGAAAAGTGCTGTTGAAAGTTATTGTATACTTCAGGAAGCTTGTGGTGAACATGTTCCATCTCAAGATACTTGTGAATGCTGGTTTAAATACTTTAAAAGTAATGATTTCAATGTGAAAGACAAATAACATCCAAGTCAACCATAAAGTTTGAAACCAACAATTACAAACATTATTGGATGAAGATGCGTGTCAAAATCAAAAGCAGCTTGCAGAAAGATTAAATGTTGCTCAGCAAACAATTTCCAATCATTTACAAGCAATGGGAAAGATTTTAAAGGAAGGAAAGTGGGTGCCACATCAACTGAACAAAAGACAAATGGAAAACCGAAAAGTCATCAGTAAAATGTTGCTTCAGCCGAAACCGGTTTGGCTCAGTGGATTGAGCGTCGGCTTGGGGACTGAAGGGTCCCGGGTTCGATTCCGGTCAAGGGCATGTACCTTGGTTGCGGGCACATCCCCAGTAGGGGGTGTGCAAGAGGCAGCTGATCGATGACTCTCTCATCGATGTTTCTAACTTGCTATCTCTCTCCCTTCCTCTCTGTACAAAATCAATAAAATATATATTAAAAAAAAATTTTTTTTTTAATGTTGCTTCAATGGCATGAAAGAAAGTCTTTTTTTTTTTTTTTTTTTTTTTTTTTTTTTGCATAGGATTGTGACTGGCAATGAAAAGTGGATTTATTTTGAGAATCCCAAATGCACAAAGACATGGGTTGACCCAGGTCAACCTTCAACATCTACTGCAAGGCCAAATCACTTCAGAAAGAAGACAATGCTCTGCGTTTGGTGGGATCAGGGAGGTGTGGTGTATTATGAGCTTCTAAAACCAGGTGAAACCATTAATACTGATCACTATTGACAACAAATAATCAATTTGAACCATGCTTTGAATGTGTCAGAAGACACAGCAAAGTAATTTTGCTTCATGATGATGCACCATCACACACTTCAAAACCAGTTAAAGACATGTTAAAAAATCTTGCTTGGGAAATAGTAACCCACCCACCGTATTTACCAGACCTTCTCCTTCAGATTACCACTTGTTTGGATGGATGGCACATGCACTTTCTGAGCAGCACTTCTAAACGTACAAAGAAGTGGAAAACTGGGTCTCCGAATGGTTTGCCCCAAAACAAGGCAAGTTCTATTGGGACGGTATCCACAAATTACCTAAAAGATGGGGGAAATGTGTAGCTAGCGATGGACATTACTTTGAATAAAGCACTTTTGATGTTTCTCTTGAAGTTATCGTGTTTTCTTTTATTATAAAATTCGAATTATTAGCCGATACACCTTTAGTATATGACTATTTACATCAGCACTATTTGTAATAACAAAAAATGTCCCTCATTACCTGAATACATAGACTATAGTATATTCACACATGGAATACTATTATGATCTATAATATAAATGATCTCAAGAATATAATGCTGGGTGGGGGAAAAACATTTTGTGGGAAAATGACTATTATTTCACTTATACAAAGTAAAATATACACAAAACAATATTAAAAAGATCTAACAGTTGTGTTTTGAGAAAAGCAAGTTGTTACAGCTAGTGATAGTATGCCATCCTTTCTGTAAATGATGGTAAGTACTTTAAAGAAGAAGAGGTGGGTTATAAGCTGAGGACAAGGTTGATTAAACTAAAATGATGTCTTTTAATCCCAGTGTTGATCCTGGAAAGGGAAGCTGCCCTGAAGACAGATGTCTGGTGAAGGATGGTGCAGAGTTGAAACCACTGAAGACACTCAGAAGTCAAGATTATATCGGAAATTACCATCTACACAGGCTCAAATGTTCACACTCTGTTTTTCTAAAACCTAGATGTCAAACAAATGACAAGAGAAAGCAATGACACCATAAATGTGTCATCTGTTTGTCAGGTTATATTTGCCCTTTTGTCTATGCATTACCACAAACATTAAAACCAGCCAATCATGCTCCCAAGTCTTGGAGTTACAGCTACTTGGGAAAATGCTCTAACTTAGGGAATTTTCAGTCCATTCTCATCCAAAAGAGCATTCTTCTGTGAGTTTCACACAAAGATCCTTAGCTCTGACCTTCCTTCCAAATTCCAAGCCCACATTTCTGTTTGCAAGGCCCCTTCCTGCTAAAAACATACCTTTGATGGGTTGGCCCTATCTCCAAAGTCAAGTCTACTTCTATGCCTGTCTGTGGCAGGCACTGATCTAAGCACTGGGGGTATCATGGTGCACAAACACAGCCTCGCCTGGCTGTATTCTTCAGTGGTTAAGCACTGACCTATAAACCAGGAGGTCACAGTTTGATTCCTGGTCAGGGCATATGCCTGGGTTTTGGGCTCGATCACCAGTAGGAGTCATGCAGGAAGCAGCCAATTGATGATTCTCTCTCATCATTCTCTCTCTCTCTTTCCCTCTCAGAAATCAATAAGAATATATTAAAACAAAACAAAAACACAGTCTCATGGAACTCTCCCTACCTTTACCGTTTACTGTCTTATTAACACAATATCTGACCTCTTGAGCAATTATTAAAACAACAGACATTTCTACTTGACTGCTTATTTATTCAGTTAGCACTAGTTTCTGGCAGACTCCCTTGGTCATCATAAGTCTTTACTATTGCAATTTAGTGCTATTTAGAATACTGGGATTTTATTATTTATTCTCTCCACAATTGGTTCAAGGTCCAACAGAAATGGGACCTGAATATCTAAACTATTCTGCCACATACATACATACCATTTGATATTTCTCTCTAGTAAGTGG